GTTCCGCATACTCCGAGTCACTTCTGCTTCCTCGTGTGGTTCAGCAGGTCCACTTGTACTTGTCAAAGGCCGCATGTCGCTGCGAATCGCCTTTGGTGTGCAACGAGAGATGAATAGTGCAGACGCACTCTTTCCCAGAATTAGCACGAACTCAATGTTTTAAAACGTTCCTTCCAACCTAATATTATATTTTGCTTGAAAGAAATTGAAACTTCGCAAGCTATTTAGTTTTTGGAATAAGAAAGCATAAACACCGCGTCAATGTACGACAAGTGCCTAACAAATGAAGGATGACAGATTTGGTGATCTTTAGGTGACTGGAAACTAATATGCCGTGCACTCACATCTTTTAATGTCCAGGTTCCATTGGAGTACCCAAGTGGAACATGCTTAGTATCGCTTGTATGTTTTACTGACAAGCAATAAGTAATCTGCCTGGCTACGGTCGTTTTCCGTACCAGATAGTCTCCCTGAATCTGAAACTCAATCCTGTCAGACCAAAATCGAGAAATGTCCTTTAAATTCCTCTCATTTACCTTTAACATGTCTTCTACCTCTTTACGTGGAATCAACCCATGGTACCAAGTATGTGCTGTTAGGGCCTTGTCTACTTGCTAGAATAAAAGGGATTAGAAGCTATCACACTGAAATCTGTCATTGGACTGTCGTTTTAGGCCACAGTTAGCGCAGCGAAAGTTTTCACAAGAATGATGAGTTTGGGCGAAACTGTACCCCGGTGTTGTGACTGGTAGCACAATTGCTCGGAAAGGGTGAGATCCGGGTAGGAATCCCAGCTGGGATGAAAGTTTTGCTCACAACTCAACATTCTTCTGATAGCTATCTAGAAGTCAAGTAGCCCGCAAGCAAATCTGTTTCATCATTTCTATGTTGGAAGTGTGCAGTGAGAAATCATTTTAGAAATATTGGTATTATTACTTTATTATCACAGAAATAATTATGTATCTGTACTAGTTACTTCAACACTTATTAGCCCACTTCTACTATTTCCGAACCTAAAATAAACCAATTTTGCTCCGCCCGCTATCGCGCGCATCACAGGGTAGGGAGGAACCACGGAATAGCAGCATGATGTACTCCATTAACCACCTCACTATTGAATGTGTTATACCTCCTTATACCCCTCCCTTTCTCCTATCTCCCTCCCCTCCCTCTCCCCCCCCCCCCGCTTTCCCCCTCCCTCTACCTCCCGCGACTCCAGGCTGCCCCGGCAGCACCATGTAGAATGAGGCTGAGTGTGCTCGTTCGGTGTTTTTGTAGCCATTGTTTCTTTTATTTACATTTTTTATGGGTGTTATCACAATCACCACATCAGGTTAGAATAATACGTCAACATGAATATAGACCTTACTCTTAAAAAAAAACGGTCGTTCTCTCTCAGTCTCTCCTCTCCTCCCCCTCCTTATACCCTCTTCTCCGGCGCATGGCAGCGCCATGTTCTCCCTTGCAGCCTTCCCTTTCTTGCCCCCTCCCTCTACCCTCCTCCCCCCCCGCTCATCCGGCTGCCACGGCAGCACCATGTAGAATGAGACTGAGTGTGCTCGATCGGTGTTTATATAGCCGCTGTGGGTTTATCATGATCATGACATCAACATCACGAAGTGTTGCCCTTCGTACTCCCTGGTTTTGTTAGCGGTTGGTCCGGACGGACAGAAACCCCGCAACACATAGACAAACGGTACCCACATCAAGTTCTGCGCTAAATATGTAATGTGAACTAATCAGAACCAGGCACATTTGCCATCTGAAAAGTCATTTTATTGTCGTGAAGTAAGACGCCTCATAGGGTCATGAACTCGTTGGTTCGATTTCGCAGCAGTGCTTCTGCTCACGATCCAGGCGAGCGGATGTAGTGTCTCTTGTGTGAGCGGTAAGTATGTCGGTGTAACCATAGTTCATAAAGCTCGCATTTAGATGAGAAGGAAATATTCATGGAGGCGGTCCAAGCGTCGTTCTCCAAATCAGATCTCCGTTCCCCGGTGGAATACTCACGTACTGATTTTTCAGTCATGCACAAGCTTAAGGAGCCGTGTAGGCACTCGATAGTACTACCGAAATTCACTATCCCATTACAAGACTGTCTCCATGAATAACGCAATGGTTTTTCTTGCCGTTGTTACTCTGCTCAAATATGTTTCAATCAATGACTGACCATAATATTCAGTCAAACGGTCAATCTTATATATCAATGCCAGAATCATCAATAGTTTGCATTTCTCGACGGTATGATGTCATCACTTAAACAATCGCTACTACCTCCTGGATATTGTCTTGAATTGGCAGTGAGAAGAGATGAGCTCGTATGTAGGTTGCTTCCTTAGAGAGGGTCATCTCTCCTAATATAATTCAGAACAACTGGACCAGCAGACTGAGAATCAAGACAAGCGATACATTTGTTGAAGGACATGAATTTATCAATTTTTCACCATACGTCGCCAAACTCTAATCTCTAATCGCGACCCCTGCTCAGACCACGACAAGGATTAGATGTAAGTACCTCAGGTTTGGGTGGAGGCCCTCGAAGTTTGTGGTCTCCCTTCGAGGTAAGCATTTCTCCTTTATGAACACGGTCACGTTTCTCGGACCCTGCAAGGGAAGCTACACACTAAGACTTTCTGTTGGCCCTCTCTGGTTCACTTGAGTGAAGGCTACACAACAGCATATGGGAAGAAGTGCAGTTCTTGCTGGACCACTCTCCACATCGTTTTGCTAGGAACTCTAACTCTTCAGGCATATTCGTCATTATTTCTTCTCTTCGGTACGAAGCGGACCGCTACAAAGCATTTAACGAGGAGTCATTCGGGAATGTCTTGCTCCACTCAAAGAGAGGCCCGCAAATCTGTTTGGATTTAGGCGCATCAGGAATTGAAAAGCTAACGACGAACCGTGAAAATTGAATGGTTATACAGAGGAGTGTGAGGGTGGTGTAGGTGGAAGATGTAAGATGTCAGTCTGACGAAGTGGGTCCGTTAGTAGGCGGAAGTCTTGCACACTTGTCAGGCGTAAAATTGATTATACTTAATGTGACATGCAAAAACACCAGCGTATCACTCACCTTGAATGCTTGAGCAGTTTCATCCTGTGACGCACCGTGAGAAGGCGTGGAAGATACTTCTCGACCAGACTCCGGCTTCTCGGGTGGCTGAAATTCTCATTGTGTAGAACATTGCGCTACCAAAACGTCTCACATCAATTACTGACCAATCTTTTCATTGAGATTCTCGTGGAGATAGCAATAATAAAAAATACAGAGCAAGGCAGACAAAAATCACGGCAACAAGATAAATTGACCATGAAAATTCAGTAGTGCCGGAAAGAGTTAAAAGTTCAATGGAACCATAGTAAGTTAAAGTTTGATGGAACCATAGTGAGACAACTTAAAGGCAAAAGTCGGGCTCGTGTTTGGGCATTATGGCGCCTGAAATTGAGTGTAGAGATGGGAGGTGGAACGACAGTGAAGAAAAAACGCGAAGAAACCGTCGACAAGACCGAAATCGAAACCCCTTCCCTTCTAGCAGTGAAGGAGGCTTGCTCGGGGGAGAGGCACGTCGAAACAAGTTTTCCGGATATGCCAGCCGTTCCATCGGTTGATAGGGCAATCACCCTAGCGATCTCACACG